CAAATTTAATTTAATCACTCGCTCTCAGAGAGCTAATGAACAACAGACGGCAGGGTCTAAGAAGTTTCACTGGTTACGTAACTGACAGCTAAGGTAACATTTTGGTATTTTGGGGTTTGCCTAAGGCACGACTACAGACATAAGATTTCTTTTGCCAAATTAGAACTTTTCTTTATTTTAGTTAAAAAACACACGCCTCCATTGTATATTTATAATTACATTTTTCTTTATTTGCAATATTCATTGATTTCGATTCGTTTAACATGTCGTTAGCACAAAATATTTGATTCACTCGTTACGAAATTTCCCTTTATAATTTGTTTCGATTGCTTCAATTTCTTATTTGTAATACATTTACATAAATACTTTCTCTATACATAAGTATGTATGTAAGAATTTGTAATTTTCTAATACGTTTTCATAAACATAATAGTATGTGTGCATATATTCATATCTGTTCAATTTCTAAATAAATTTCAATACTCAATCATACGCATTTTAATACTTTTGATGTCAGCTGATTGTAGTTTTTTCGCAAATTTACAATTCATCTTTAAAAAAGTAATTAAAATATTTTTAAAAACGGTAATAGTAATATGCAAGAAAAAAAAACATTACAACTAATTTTAAATAAAAATATAATAATTTTAAAAATATTTAGTGTAGGTTTTCTTTAAAAAAATCATTAGAGATTTTTCGTTTTTTTTGTTTAAATTTACATGCTATGTATTGGGTTAATATTTAGTATTTTTCAAGGCATTGTTACGCACTCCACATTTTAGCAGCATTGCGTCTGCCATTCTGTATTCTTTAGAGTTTTTGTTTATTAGTTACTAGTTGCTTTGTTTATTTTGATTTTATAATCTACTTGAATTAAGCTAGTTTTCATAACGATCATTGCTTAGTTAGTTGGTGGATTCACTCAGGTTCTTACATATGGCAATGCGTTTAAGTAACTGCTTAAATGTACAGATTTTAATAAAAAATGCAACTGATTGCGTGATTTTTTTAATAAGTTTTTTTTTCAATTCCAAAAATCTACAAACAAGTTGTAAATTTGAATTTTTTTACGTTTCACTTCCTTTTAGATATACAGCCATGTTCACACGAGCAGGCAAATTCCGCCAAAAATGACTACCGTCATAACCGCTTTGCCTAAAAGTATGCCGTGAAAGCTAGCTTGTAAGTGCGTACAAATTACACAAACAAGAGTAATGTTTTCATTACTAAATTCAAATGAAATTTTTGTGGTATGTATATTTTTTGACATCCCAACTATGAAAATAGTAATTTTGGCGGATTTCGCCATTACGTAGGAGTAGTACCGTTAATCTTGAAAAAAAAAAATAATTATTTGACATTATTAACCATTTGCCTGTCATCTCACCTTTTCGCATCCTCTTGAATGATTTTAGCGTATAATTGTATTTACGATTTTTAAAAATATATAGATGCATATAAAGACTTTTAATTCATATATCTTTATAACATATTCTTTTTCGATTTACTTACTTAACACTCGTACATATTTAGGTTTAAGTAAAAATTAAATTATTTTTCCTATTTATGTTTGCTTTTGGGTAGTGAATCTCCATAGTTATTTATATGCAATATGAATACCTATATTGTCTCTTATGAAAAAATGCTGTAAAACATCTATGCATATATCATATGAAATATGATACATTACATATGTATACAAATTCATATACATATGTATATGATGGGAAAAAAATTTGAAATGCTTGCTGAGTTGAGGGTTTAAATAATTTCTTCTAAATGGAATTATCTCCCACACAAAAAGTAACTAAAATGTCTTACTAATCGTAATGGATAAGGCAAAGAGTTAATAAATTATTGAACTGTTTTATTTTAATCGAAAAATTTCGGGTACTTTTTGAACAGTTTGTGGTCAGGTATCTTTGAAGAGTCGAAATATGTATGCAGGAAAATCTTTAATGAATATGAAATCGGAATGAAAATTAAAATTACTACATATATTTGTTTACAAAGTTATACATTCGGCGGGCATATCTGCCCACATTTAGCTTCAAAAACTAGAAAACTCAGGGTACAAGAAGCGCAGGAAAAGGCGTAACATAACGCAAAACCAAACATTTAGTTCATTAAACATATATTTTGTTATTTTTAGAATAAAGTGCGAAATTAAATTTTTTTGAAAAAAAATAAATTTCAAAATGCATCTCAAAATGAGTAGATCTTAGCTAAGATGTTGGCCATAAAACCTTATTTGCTTTACATACACAGCAAACTCGAAATTCACATTCCTCCAACCATTCCTAATAGTTATGATTTTTAAGTTTAAAATAAATCATATTCAAATTCAAACATTAAAGTGGTTTTTAATCACTCTTAATGAGAAACACAATGTTTTTCTATAAAAATACGCGCCCTTTTTATTGAGAATTGCATGCGTCTCAGGCAGAGACAATCAACTCTATTCCCATGAAAACGACAAAACATAAGGCATGACTATGGTCTTAGCTACTGCGCCTAAAACTATGCCGCAAAAACTTGACTTGAATTGCTCTCATGATGCCAACTGTCATATTTTTTGTTGTGACCTACTGAGTACGTAATATTTAGTTTTAGGTGTAGTAGTTAAGAAATTTGCTATATATATATGTCATGAGTTCTGTGGACATCGCCAAAGGGAGCAAAATATCGTTTCACCAACAAAAACCTGTATGAAAATATTTTCAGTATTTTTTAAACTTCCGCCTTGCTTTTTATCAATACACTATTGTGGTGTATATGCCTTAAACTATGCAACGAAAAGTTGTAGAAGGTTATATTTGCGTTTTGGAACTCTCTTAGCAAATACTACAACTATTTACTTGCAACAGCAGTAAACATAAGCTGTTTCTAATGAAAAATTACAGATTTCCTGCTGGGTTACACAAGGCGTTTAAAAATTTTAAGCCATACTGAGAGCTAAGATGTTTACTCATCAAAAAAGTCCTGGACTCCAACATTTGTTTACGGGTTTTTCTTCTTGAAAGTGTTTTAATTTTGGTCAAGGTGTTAATTAAAAAAGATTTTGACATTTTTTGCCAAAAAATGGATTTGCTCACCGAAGCTCTTGGCTCAACAACAATTTTGAAATATGAATGTTTTTACTCTCAACAAAATATGCGGTTTTGCATTATGTTGATACGCAATTTTCTATTTTAAACGACTATTTATATTTACACAAAATAGGCTCGAAAGGGTTAAATTTAAGTCATTCTGAAACTTAAATACTGCATAGGGATCATATTCATTTCTGGGTGATGCCTAAAAATATGCTGTGATGAATGTTTTTAAATGCCTTATTTCAGACAAAATCGATGCTCGCTTTCGCAAAAAAAACATATCTGGGTGGATTACTTGGATCAAATTATTAAATTAAAAATTTATTTGCGCTCACACTTGACTTTGTCACATGAAAACTTATCTCAAGAATATGAAATATAGGTCAACAAATAGAAAAGGAATAAGCTCTACGGTGTTTTGTTTCCGGTACATGTTTTTAGTAGCTTAACTAACCACACCAAACTCTTATTAAGGGGAGTTAGATTCGAAACTATGCAAATGAGCTTTTGTCTGGTGCAGTAAAGTATTCTACTAAAGCGGCGATGGGCACCGCCTCGCCCGCGGGCAAATCCCTTTTAAGCTTTCTATACATTTTGTATAGGCGGGTACGGGGAAAAAGCTCTCTCTGCTCATCGCTGGACTAAAGGTATGTATAAGAACCGAAAGAGATTTGCTGCTACTTTAAATTCTATATTCATCGCTGAAAGTAATTGTATTCTTCGTTTTGTATGGAATCAGAGTGTGGAGCTTTTTTTGATAAAAGTTTTTTGTTTAATGTAGTGTTGATCAGAAGAAGGTTTTACTCTGTGCATGTCCATTATAAAACAGCGACAACCAGAGCTTAAAATTTATATAAAGCTTTTCTCTCTGAATAAGATTTGGGGGTGACTGATATAAATAGTTCATGAAGCTTTAGAAAAGCTTGGCATATCTTACGAAACAAACGAATTCGGATTAAAATGTAGCCAGCAAACGAAGTTATTCTATTTGGGTGACGATCAGAGAAAGCTTTTGCCCTGTAAGCGTCTGTTTAAAAAAGTCACAACCAAAGCCAGTGCTGCGGTAGAAGCTTCTTAGAGCTTTCAGTATATAAGTGATGGGCAGACAGAGATTTTAACTTTGAATACCTGTAACGTGTTTAGAAAGCTTAAAAAAGCTCTACACGATCACCACTAGCAAGCTTAAAAAGCTCTGTTTACGTGATATGCCACTCATTTATGTAGATTTGTAAAAGTTGTGTTACTTATATTATGATTATCAAAATCAATGTAGGCTACGCTTTCATGACTTTGAGATATTGCTTTTGCGGTTTTAGAACTAATCAAACTACATAATGAAATTCTATGATTTTCATACCTACACATGCCTCAAAGTTGAAACTCACCTCACGCGCTTTCGTAATGCATATTCAAAAATTATAGCAAACATTTATCACATATCATAATAATATCGTAAATTATTACGTACATAAGTAAATACATACTGTGCTTAGGTACTATAAGCCTAACCTACAAAAAAATTTAACCTATACTAACTTTTTTTAATTTAAAACACTTTTTTTTAAAGCCATCTGCATTTTCGTACACACTTTCAAGTGATTTATTTCATAGAAAGCAGCAGAAAATTGCTTAGCCTACAACGAAAAAAATCTACAGCTAGTATTGCGCGCATGCGTGGCCAGTTTACTTCATTTTTTTTTGTTTTAACTTAAAATAGCAAACATAAATTTAATACTAAAATTTCTTCACAAATTAAATAAAAAATAAATAGTTTCTTCTTTGTTTTACAAAATACCAAAATAAATTTAAATAGCCCAAAGCAAAGTTGTTTTTCCGTATTTTCTAGTACAGCTAATATTCGCCGTTTGTTCTAACAATTTTTCTTTTTTAATTTCATACTTTTTTTCGACTTTTACAATAATTTTGACGCTGCTAACGAGTGAATTGCATATTTTGTGCATTTGCAGTTGTATGTATGTTTGTATGTTTCTCTTTCTGATTGACACTTGTGCGTATATTTACAAATAGCGCATGCGCACGCGCAGTGCAGCAAAGCGTCTAAGTTTACACCTTACACATCGAACTTTGCTCCGCCGCTGCTGCTCTGCTTGGCTCCACCCTCCCCCCAAAAAAACACATAAGCTTATACCACTTATCTAGTATTGCTCTCACACACACAAACACATTTTGCAATTTACGCTGTCGAATCTTCAATTTCGTTGTCGATACGCGATGAACGTATGCCTGACTTGCCGGTCCATGGATAGATGTCGGGACAGGGTTGACACGTTTTCATATAACGTACGCCGGATTTGTGCCAGAGATTGCAGACCTTGGGGTTGTTGCAACGCTTCGGACGGTCCTGTAGGTGCGAAAAGGAAAATTGATTAATGGAAGCAATTTTTGGAGATACTCTCAAAGAGAATTTTGGTTTGTTGGTACACCTACCGAGTAATCACACGAGAATGGCTGGAAGGAATTGATGCGCGAGAGTGGTGTTGGATCACGTACCCATTGCAACATTTGCCAATTGGTCACAATCCAAACGTCTGGCATTTGATTGATGGCGTCTAAGAATTTGATGAAACCTTCTTTATGGTGAGGCTGCGTGAACCAAGCCGCATGGTAGTAGAGACCAAATGGAGCTCTGGAGGTTAAAAAAGAAAAATTAAGGTTACTTAATTCGCCTTCCTTTTGCCTTCCACACTCACCTGTTTGTCGTGTAGTGTCTTTCGAAATTCTTCATAATCATTTTGTAAACACCATCCGATTCGCTGGGATTCGAACAGGCATCACCCATTGAACAACGTCCACCGTTCAAGTCTTGCCACATCACCATAGGCACTTGCCATACACCCGGATAGCTGCGCGTCGGGCAGGGTGGTATCATGCAGTCGTGGAAGATTTTATAGTCGAAGGTGTAGGGCCATGATGGTGGGCGATTTTCGTACACTGGCAGTGATGAATCGTAGGTAAAGTTTGAGTCGTAAAGCATTTTGTACATTTTATTGCCGCCGACTGAGAGGAATGGCGCGCGCATACCACGCACATCGGAGAGCTTGACACCACCATAGGCGGCGAGAATTTCACGCTGGCCGGCAATCTCACGCGTCCACTTCTTTTGCGAGAATTGTTCGCCGAAGCTGTGACTGTAGGTTTTTGGTTTTTAGAAAAGGATGGGTAGAGAACAAAATAGGTTAGTTGTATGTTTTTAAGAGTTTCGTGTGCAAAAATTTCAGGTGTGGAAAACTAGTTATTTTCAAGTTACTTTGAATTGGAATCATTATTTGATTTAGTTTATGTCTATACCGCCACCGAATCTCTTTAATACAAGTATTGTTGGATTATAAGCAAGTTATAAAAATTAAACAGTTAAGAAGGAAATGGATTATTACATACAGTCAATCAATAAAGTTTTGCTACAGCGATTTTTTTTTACATACGGGCAGCTGTTTTTTAATTATTTTATTTTTCGCATTTTTTTATAAAAATATGGTTAATTCTACGACCAAGACCTCAAAAATCCGAGCTCCAAACCTTGTGCAAAATTAAAGAAAATTCTGCAAAGTTTCATCAAAATATTACGCTTTTTAATTACACCCTTCAGAAAATAGCTGAGTATGCAGTTTTTAGCCCATTCAATTTTAGCGTAATAATGTGCATTATTATCTCCATATAAAAAAGAAAAATTGAGAATTTTTTTTATATGGAGAAAATGAGCGACACCTTCAACAAAAAAAAAAATTTTCAAACATCATTGGTAAGTCCTCGCTACCTGAAACTTGCACTTTTTTCAAAAGAGTGTAACTAAAAAGTTCAATATTTTAATGAAAAATTGCAGAATTTTCTTTAATTTGCACAAGGTTTGGAGCTCTGATTTTTTGAGTTTATGTTGTAAAACTAAACATATTAAAAAAAAAATTTGCGAAAAATAAAATAGTTAAAAAACAGTTGTCCGTATTCAAAAAAAAATCGCTGTACGAAAACTTTATTGATTGATTGTAAACAAAATTCACCACGTAATGGAAACAAGTTAGCAAGTTGCAAATAAAATAATTAGGATTTAGTACTTGTAAGATATGTATGAACTGAATATTAGAAAAATAGCATTTAGGGATCACCTTTGATGAAAATGCTCGATGTGTAGACTCGAGTTATAATTATAATCTTATTATTATTATTGAATTTTCAGGAGGAATTTTACTTTTTAAAAATACAGAATGTATATTAGGGTGCTTTTTTTCGGCGACTAAAAACAAGCAAGTTCCCTGAAAATTTGAGCATTTATTATTAATATTAAGTACTCGACGAAGATTTCCCGTTCAAAATACATTTTGATTGTTTTTCTTCAAAATCTATAGCTCAGAGGCATTTTATGGTATAATCTTGGTCAATGATAGCATTTGATGCGGTGTAACCCTAACACCCACCAGCGAGTTAGTACGGGTCACTAAACCCAATATTTTCATGAAATTCTAGTTTTTTCGCCACTATCCCGTAAATAAATGGAGCTAAAGAAAAAATACTAATGACAGACTTGTAGATAATTCAATTTCCTATAAAAAAAAGTTTTAGAACACCAAATCGCTAACATCGATATTCTTTGAGATATTGGTTTTAGAGTTTTGCTAAAAAAAAAAAATACTTTTTTTCATTTTCTTTTCATTAACAACCTTTTTTATTCTTATTTTAATTTGGCCAATCAATTAACAATAAATCCGAACTGGCGTATTAAAGGTGATAAAATATGACTTCAACTTTGATAAATATATCTAAAAAAACTAGTGCAGACACCGATTGGAGTGTGTGGAACGTGAGTTTTCAGGTAGTTTTTAGCGAAAACTGGTTTTCGTTTAACAGATTTTACATGGTCGAAAACACCAGTTCTAGGCCGAAAACCAGTTTTAGCAACGAAAACATCCGTGACGGAAACAAGTGAATTTTTTTTTTAAATCAACTAATTTAAAGACCACTTTAAAACAAATGCAATCAGTAAATGTTTCGAATTTTTATACTCTTTTTGTGTGTCTTGGAAGTATGAAAAAGCGTCTGTGAAGTCCAGAACGCAAGCGTATTCAAAAGAAATAAACTGACTTTGAAGTTGTGTGAACCAAATTCATTTTAAAGTAGTTGAAATTAAATGCAGGAAAAGGCAAATGACTGCTTCCTGGACATCGCCATGTTAAATAAATGAGTTCGTTGTAGGTAAAATAGTGAGAATTTCAATTAATTATCATTAAAAATAAAGTAGTTTATAAATTACTTTAAAACTAATTCAATTTCCTGCAGGGATGTTTTCAATGCCGGTCAGAACATATGGTATAAGAGCGCTGCTCATCATCGTTTTGTATCAGCAAAACGCATCGCCTTGCTGACGCGCAGAGCTTTTTGGCGCTTTCTGTACATTTTTAATTGACGCGTGATTAAAAGCTATCTCTGATACTATATACATAGGCCCATAGTCATAGTCGTAAGTTAAAACTCCTTCTTGTTAAAATAAAGTTTTAAATTTAGAATAGATTTTTAACTTGTGTCATCATAGATAACTTAGAAACCAAGGAATGAAACCGAAACCCAAACCGAAACCGTAACCGTTTAAAACCGTTTCGTTTTTCAAAACCGAAACCGAAACCGTAACCGTTATCTTGACCTGAAAAGGAACGATACCGAAACCATTTCAATCACAGGTTTCAATCGGTTTCCAGAAATTTACAAAAATAATAAATAAATACAAATTTCTTTGAAATAAATGATTTATTTAACCAAAATCAGCAACATTTTGCTAAAATTCTTGTTAAGTAGTAAATAAGTATGGCAAGGTAACTTTCGCAAAAATCTGCTGATGACTTTGTTGTTGTGAATCGATAATCGATTAATTATATTTAAGTAGTTTCTTTCCCGTACGCAATGCGAGATCCCGCGTGTGCCCAAAATAGCCCAGAAATCATGCCTGTACTCAACAAAATGGGTAATAGAGAGCGAAAATTCGAGCGTATTCGATCGTAAGTGTATTCTTCTTCCTGCCCGAAACAGCCCGAAATTTTCTCCGAGTAAAAATGGATAAAGTGTCAAAGTGCATATCAGCCGTATTGTGTTTACATGTTGCCTGCATTTACTTGGTGCTTTTAAGGAAAAGTGAATGGCCTGTTGATGTATTTTCAATCTATGTACTTAAAATCAAATTTGTGAAACCAAAATTCAATTTCCAAGTGTTTGCATTTAATACCGTGTTCTGACCGACAACAAAAAAACATTTTTCCTTCATTTTCTTTTCATTTACAACCTTTAACTTTCATTCTTATTTTGCTTTGGCCAGGCAATTAACAATAAATCCGAAATGGCGTATTAAAGATGATAAAATATGACTTCCACTTCGATAAATAATCGAAAAAAAAGTTTTAGCAACTAAAACATGTTTCCGATGTCGGTCAGAACATGGTATAAGTGACAAAAACAAGAACAACGCGAATCAGCTGTTTCTCGACTTGAGGGCACGAAATGTGGGTTTTTGCGTTTCCGTACTTCTGAACTTTGTTCCATTTTTGAAAGAAAATGTTTCTCTTATTCTCTAATTACCAACTCCGGTCCCGATTGTTAGGGAAAGAACCTAGTGTTGATATTATCAGTGAACTGTAATTTTCGATTTTCTTTCCTCAACGTTTAAGACATTGTGATTTAAATAATATTAACAAAATTTCTGTGAAAAACCGAAACCGAAACGAAACCGAAACCAAAACCGAAATAAATTTTGAAGAACGAAACCAAAATCGAAACCGAAACACTTGGCAAAACCGAAACCCAAACCGGAACGTTATTTTGAATCGGTTTCATTCCTTGTTAGAAACAGATTTTTGTTAAGATGAGAGAAAACAGAGCTATTCATATGAAAAGAGAAAAAATTTACTGGGCAATATATAGAAATATGAGTACTTTAATTAGTTTACCCTGTGTCCGCTGAAGGATTGCGGGTTTAGCAAGCCGGGAAGCCGTGGGTTCGAATCCCACTGCCAGGAAATATTTTTTTTTTTACATATTTAATTTGTTCTTTTAAATACTATTTCAATTTTTTTATGCAGGAAATATTTTTTTTACATATTTAATTTGTTCTTTTAAATACTATTTCAATTTTTTTATGCAGTTATAGTTTTTGTGACCTTTTTAATTATAATTAAACTCCAAAAAATTTGATGAATTTGAAATAATTTTGTGAAATACCATAACAACAATAAAAGATAATAACATAAAATTTAATAAAATAAATAAAATGAAATATTAAAAAATTATAATAAAATTAAAAAATATTATTTGGAATCGCTTGGAGTGGAGACCGAACCTGGGTTTACTACTTTAACATCAAAATAAAACCTAGAACCTTATTTTACCATTTTAAAATCACGCTCTCCTCATTTTAAAGTTAAAACTCTATTTTTGCCGTAAAATGCATTTTAAGTTGGCTATGAAAGAGTTAAAATGGTGATTACTATAAAACAAAATTTTAATCGTTAAAACCTTTTTCTAACTTCTCTATGATTACGGGCCATATTAGTTTCTAAGCGTTAAATAAGGGTTTTTTATTTTCGTAGTGATTTTTTCTTCAATTAACTACAAATGGGTTAGATCCCTAGATGCTACGATTACCGAGTTTCCTAAAAGCAAAGAAATATGGTGCTGGGTTAAGTGAGGAATTACGCTATACACATACATATGTATATGTAGGTATTTAGGGTGCAAAAAGTTATTATCTTATGTATGTATATTCGATTTATTTAATGAATTAGGTGTTATTTTGAAATCCACTAAAAATAATTGTGCTCCTTTTAAACGTTGCAAAGTGTGTAGTTTTTAAGTTCATTTTTCCTTTACTGGATATTAAAAGTTTATTTGCTTTGTAGAGAAGTGTGCTCGGTATTTTCAGTGCCAGCTCAGTGCTTCCTTGCCGCAACGAGCCGTAATGTATTTTTCTTTTGATTTTAGATAAGTATACGTGTGTGCGTGTCAGTGTTGGCTACTTAAGTGCTTCATCATAAATTGTATATTTTTTTTTTCAAATTTTTACTTACGATACAGTATGTGAGGCCATCTCATGCCCATCGGCGTACAAATTTTGCACTTGACTGTAGTCAGTCCACTCGTGTGATACGTAGAAAGTTGCCGTTATAGGACAACCATTCGGATTGACACGCCCCTTTTCGAATAGATCGATATAAAGTTGTTTGTTCAGATCATTGACAGAGTCGTCGAATGTGATTAGCACAATTTGAGGTACAGTCTCAACTGGTAAATCGCCTGTAGGAGCGCACGCGCATCAAGTTTTCGATAGGAGGGATTTATGAGATGATGATTGGATGGTATTTGACAGCGGGGACAGGGGGTCCATAACACATTTATATGCATACAGATGTGGTTTATAGTAGTATGTATGACACCATAAGAGATGCATGATTTGTAAAATAAAAATACAAATTATGGGCATGTAAATAAATAAAATCAAAATGGAAAATAAGTAAACAAAAAAATTAAAAATAACAACAAATAAACATGAACATATGGATCGCGAGTAAACGCCATAGAAAATTAAAACTAAAAAAAAAATTTTAGAAAAAATATGCGTTAAAATTCGCGGCGGAAAATGATAGCGTAGAAATGAAACATTTCAACCAAGAATATTTATTAAAAAAAGTGATGAATATCAGCTTGACGTTTGGGGGAAGCGAATTTATTATAAGAAAAAAAAATTTAACAGGAATGAAGGTCACCACATGCTGGGCCACATATGAACGCATACATGCACATATACATATGTACATACGCGTAGGTATGTAAATACTTAAGTATACAATATAACCTCCGCAAATTTTTCTCGGTACAACACACGAAATCCACACATAAAGCGCGCGCAAAGCTTCAATAAAAAGCTCTACAACGCCCAACTTACGAGACTGAATGCGAAGCCATCTCATGTCCATCCGCATAGAGATCCTGCACCATACCATAATTGGTCCACTCGTGCGAGACATAGAAAGTGCCGCGTAACAAGCAACCATTAGGATTGAAGCGCGACTGGTTGTTGAAAAGCTCCTCGTAAAAATCGATATTTAATATGCTGATAGCGTCATCGAAGGTTATCAATACCATTTGTGGTACCTCACTGACATTCAAACCGCCTAATTGAGTGTGCGAATCGGGCAATGAATATTTGAGTGAGTGTGTGTGAGTGAGTGTTCATATTGGCTGAGTTTTTCTCAACTGGACATCGTTTGTTTCTAAGGTTCGTAGTTTCGGTTGTGCTAAAGATACTGCCTTTTAATTTTGCTAAACATTTTCAAAGATACCTAAGGTGACCTGTTGAATTGTGTTCGATCGACCAGACTCAGAGCTAGGTAGGAAAATAGCTGGCAAACTTTTTTTTGTTCCAAATCGGGAAATGATGACCATGCGCTGGCAAGAAGCATCAAGCCAATTAGTCTAACAATCTTCATGCTGAAGAGTCTGTAGCGCATGGACGAAGGGTACATTAGATTGAAGTTTTTGGTGAAAAGTCCCCTTAATTTTTACCAACCTGTATGTGAAAGTGGAAAGTCCTGGGAATCACAGTCCAGCTCCACATGACTTTGTAACAAAGATCGACGTAAGGCAGGAAGCAGGTGAGTACACAATAGGAATAATTTTTGCTGATGTTGAGGAAAGTTTGACAACGCTTACTTTGGGAGTGGACGAAACAATCATAAGGCGAATTCACTTCTTGTTATCTAGAAGATTCCTGACTGTAGCGGATGAAGTTAGCCTTTATACCATGGCTGAGGTTGGAAGAGAATGCCCTGAGAGCGGGGTGCTCTCACTTCTATTGTAGGGCTTGGTACTACTTCGTTCGCATCCACGCGGATAATGTTTGTTTACTGCCATCAGCAAAATCTCTCAGGCAGGTTTGTGTAAGAACACAGAGAATCCTGAATAAGATTGATGAATGATGCACTTTGTAGGGTCTTACAGGCCTCATAGGCTGATAACAAAATTCCTCATCAGGCAGAGAACCCTGATAGGAGTTATTACGGGGCACAATCCATGTGGACGACATATGGCCACCATAGGCATCATCGAAGATCCACTTTTTGCATCTTGTTTGGAAGATGGTACATGAGAATGACGAAATCTGTGAGCTTTTTGGTCTGACTTGAACATACCGCACTTAATATGAAGTTGGTTGGATTTTGTTAAGGAGTTTTGACAACCGATTACTAATCCGAAAGTAAGGATGTCTTTGTTCTGCCATATTGCCTTTTTAATAAGACGTGGGCAAACTCAAGTATGGCAACTAGTTTCACTTGGTATATTGTTGCGTCTTTACTTAAAGGAAAATATGTTCGAAATCGAGGCTCCAGAACTCCCGCATCTACACCATTAGGTGTCTTGGAACCAACGGTATACCATTTTTGTGATTCGTCGTGCAGCCATCTTGAATTGCTGCTCGAATCTTAACGAGTAGGAAATGCTAAGCTGAGGACGCGACCGATTTGGTCCGAACCAGGTTTTCAGCCAAGATGATCTCCCTCCCATTTAAGATTTCAAGGTGACCTGCAAGGTTGCCTTGTTTGAATTTGCTTGCTGGATGATGATGCTCTAGTGAAAAGATCTTACGACTCGATATGGAAAGACTAAGCGCAAAAGCAGCCATGCACATTTGGTAGAAGAAACTGGCGAAGCTTTGCAAAGAAAAAGGCGATTAGCAAATTTTGTTTGTTTCGGCTCCGCATGACAAATGGCTGTAGTGCCAAATTAGAGGAAGACGTTTCTTTTACAGTGAAATCTCTTCTCGGTAGATGTAATTTGGGTTCCTGGTTATCGAAACGTCACAACGTCGATGGAAATCTGGTCACCAGTCAGAGGGAGTTCGAGCCGTAACTAAATCGGTACAAAGGGGCAGTTATCTTTCTTGGCCCGGATGCGACTTCAAGACAACATCCCTGTCATCGTACTAACTGGGCACTGGCCTATTGAATTCAATTACAAAAGACTACGTGCCCATTGCAGAAAATGTAGAGATGAAGCTGAACACGAAACCAATGAGCATATTTAATGGAATTGCCTAGCTTTGATGAAGAAGAGGAGAAGACGTTTAGTAAAGCAATCTACTGCAAGATCTTCCGAACACCGCCTTGATAATTTTGTCAATCCTTGTGGTCGACCTTAAAACCATACACATAACCAATGTTAATATGGTCCATAGTTGCTATTTGGGCGTTAAATTTTCCCCCGATATTAGAACCCAAACTGTATTCCGTAGCATTTAACAAAAAGTTTTGAAAGAATATCAGTTGAAAATCTTTAGCAAAATTCGCAAACTGCGCAAAATAGATATAAACCAAATATATAAACCTTCAGCACAGTGTTGTCCAGTTGAGACGGTCTATTATATATTATTTGTTGTGTATGTGTAGTGGGTAAATATACCTTTAGTGATTTGATGTACTTTATGAAACTACACAGGCCTAGTACATCTCTACTTACCGGGTATTTCCTTGCCACCGCATGAACAATCTGGTAGCAGACAAACATCCTTGCGACACTTGGCTGCTGTCTTGTCGGGCGTTGGTTGTGGGTAAAGCGGTTCCGGCCGTGTTGGTGGATTTCTATAGATATCGACAAACTCCTGTGCTTTCGATACGATCGTGCCCGAAGGCTTCAAAGTGGGGCGTGTGCGTCTGTGTGATGTGAAGTGAATGTTTGTTGTTATTGGAGTAACTCATTGTGATTATCGATAGAATGCTGATACTTACGGTGGATGTGTGCCACGATTGCTGGTCACTGCTGTAGGTACATCACGATCCTGGCCGGTATAGCTGGAGCTACCACGATTACGATTGTTATTCGAATTTGTTCTATGCAAAAATTTAATTGAATAGTGTATTGTTAGCGAAATCTGTAGTTAATGACAGTTGTTTAGGGATTCTGATAGCACAGTACATACATACATATATGTAAGTAAATGTATATAGGTTTCTTTTATATAGATTTGTGTTTTTTGTCTTAAGAGAAATGAGATAAGTTAGCTACTTTGTTGCTAGGTTACAGTTAACAGTGTTCTATAATAAAATTAACACAGCTACACTGACAGAAAATCTTAGCACTAAACTCACAACACTCTAGCTGTTATTTACCTGTAATTAAATATATATCTACATATCCATGCATATATTTACTGTATATGTATAGAGAGATATGTTTTAGTTGTTAGTAAAAGCGCAAACCAATCGAAAAGATGGGAATGGGTGTTAGTAAGTGGCTTTTTATGTTAATCTAAACAAACAAATTATATATGACACATTTACAGCTGCTTTACGTTTATGAGTATTAATGAAAAAATATTATTGGAAATAAATTTCTCTATTCATAGTTTAGTTAGCCTCAAAAAGTGCATGCAAAACCATATACACATTTTTTTTTACAAAATTTACAAGCTGAAAATGGCGTAAGAATGCTTGAAAAGAAATGCTTCGAAAGAAAATTTGATGAGAACCGAAAAGATGAGTTGTTGTTGTTTTTGTTTTCTTCTTAAAGTGTTGCTGCAAAGAAAGTGAACATTTAGTAAATTCATTTCGTTAGTGTTTTTGTAGTCGTGCATGAGTTACTGGCGTTGTGGGATAGGAAGGGATTAGAGTAGAGTGGATGAATGGTTAAGGAAAAGCTTTTTTTCTCAGAGAAAAAATTAAGTGAGAGTATCGAGCAATAATTTTGGAGTTTCAGATTTTCAGCGCTTGCCAAGTCGAAGACAAAGAGAAATATTTTGGGCATAGATTTCTTAATGTGAGTAGAGTAATCAACGTGATAGATCTTTCATCACCTTAGCTGAACTTTTCGCGATTTTTTTTGCTGTGAAAAATTTAGGCAGAAAAAGATAAGAAAAGTGGAAAATTTGGACAATTATTTACAATCTCAATGGGGGCTTAACGCTTGCCCAGAAGTGAAAAATATAAGTTTGATTAGAGTAAAACGCAAATAGTTTTAAGTGTACGCTGAATTATTATTTTCAATAAGGAATTAAGTTTATTACATTTGCCTACTACAACACAAAAATTTATATCTACTCCACTACCTCAATTACACAAACTTTATCTAGTATAGCGACGATCAGGGAGAAAGCTTTTACTCTTTGCGCGAACATCTTTAGAAAGCTTTATAAAGTTTATCCCGCGGGATATGCTTCGATAGTGACTGATCTAGAAACTATTAGAGAGTGCGAATTCCATAAAAGTATTAAATGCAATTTCGTGAAATGATTTAAATAAGTTTTCTTAATATTTTTTTATGGGCTGTGATTCATTAACTAGATCGATTTCTTTACTAACTGTGAACTTTAAAGCAGCGATGGGTAGAGAGAGCTTTCACTATGCAAGCGTCTATTTAAAATGTACAGAAAGCTTAAAACAGCTTTGCTCGCGGGCCATTCGGTGCCCATCACCGCTTTAAACTTAGAGCTTTTACTTTACAAAAAAAATGTAAACAAAGCTTAAAAAAGCTTATTTCGCAAACTATGTTTTGGTCGACGGATATGAAGTCTATAGAAAGCTTAAAAAAGCTCTTCACGTAAGTTACATTTTGGACGTGACTAGCTTAATAGCGGAATCAAAGAACTGCGGAGAGTTGTCGAAGATCTATGGATTAAAGACAGAAGTAAAAAGCTGTGAATTCGAAACTAGCAATGTATGTACTGAATTCTTGGGTAGAAATTAAAGTTCATACAGAGTATTTTTGTACTTATGTATAAAGTATGTTTTTTTTTTAAAGCGATTTCGGAAGTCAGTTGGAAACCAAAATGAAGTGGAGGAGCTAAACATTTTTGAGCTTTCAGGCATTAAGTTGCCCTAATAGCTTCCTTGGTACTCAGCTGAGGGTTCTGAATTATTTCTGAATTTATTTTCAAACCTGCTTTTAAGATTCTTTAACTCGACGAAGATTCTTTAAGTGACGGGTGGGATTTCATCTCTTGCGCTATGAGCATCTTTTAAGAAATTTCTTTTCCCCGGGCTATGTATGCTTTGGTCGTGAGCGCAAATTTATATTAAATATACTGAAAGTTTGAAATACCTTACTTCAAATTGTAAGATTTTTAGGAAGTTTGAAAAAGCTCTGCCTACAATGCTCCCGCGAATACTGGTTTAGCTCAAAGCCTAACATGGACGCAGAGTTTTTTTGAGTAGTTTCTGCAGATTGGTTATATAGAACATATCCTGCGGGAAAAGCCTTTTAATGTTTTTTTTT